ACTCTGAATTACAACATAGTAATCTATTGTCCTGTGTAGTACTAAGCGGTAGTAAGCTATACTTTGTTTTGCTAGATGATACCATGTACTGTTCTACATTTTTGTTTAGCAATGTGTTGTAATCTGTTGTACTGTATGCAACTGTGTAGAACTCTGTAGTTCTGTGTGGTAGTGTGCAATGCTGTGTAGCACTGAGCACTACTCTGTTTTACCAAATGGTTTGCTCTAGGAAAATATAGTATTTTATAGTTCCCTCTAGGTCTATGTAGTACTATTTACTGACAGAGCTGCGTTGTGTCTCATGCTTGTCGATGGGGCTGATGATGTAATCTGAGTTGCAGAAATCCTGCAGGAAGATCTTGTTGAGCTGCCGTTGCTCTTCCGTCGGCAGAGAACTCTCCTGATACACAAAAGTACAGAGAAGTACGTGAGAATGGCAGCCATGAACAGGGTTAGTTTAACTACGGTTAAGGTCCGTGTCTGGTAGAACTTTGGTAAACTCACAAATTCAGAGAAGAGCCTCTGAGCGAGTAGATGGAGGTGCTGGACTCTGCTGACGGCTATGGAGAACATGCGCTGGCTGTCTGTGATTGGTTGAGAGGAGACGCCCAGACACATGACTGACAGCAGAAGGATGGCTGGGAAAAAACAGATGAGACAGGTGAGTCCTTACCTCTTAAGCCACCATCGGCAGAATCAATTTTATAGACACCTGAGTTTTCATGGTAATATTGACGTTCAAAATAAATCAGAAACACGGGATATCTGCAGATCTTACCTCTGTCCATGGCTAATGTGGGATCAGTTCTGGGTCTGAAAAGTCTGATCTTAGATGGGGTGCTGCTGGGTGTTGTGAAGTTCCAGCTCAGAGATTTCAGGTTTTATAGCTGAAAGTTTGATGCTTAAATTCATAAGGAGAAACATGAAACGAACAAACAGGCCTGCGTTCGTCTCATTAACATGAACACCTTCCAGTGATCCTCATGCAGTATTAAAAACATGCCAGGTTTGAGCTGGAAACTCTGATGCAGACATCATGTTCCAAATGTTCAGAGCTTATTGCACCAGCTTTATCGTGGCAGAAAAACAAACCCTCTAACTTTTAGCTACCAGTCCGTGTGATTATGACAAAAACCATAATGCACAGTATAAAACAGATTATAAACAAACAAAACGGGCATTTGCTCTGTTCTATTTAATCATTCACTTTTATTGACTTTATCATATTGTGCAGAGCTTCTTATAAGTAAAAATTTATTAGCATTCGAACATTAATCTGATGTTTAAAAGCTTATGTTATGATTAAATCTATAGTTATAGTGGCTCTGGTTACTCTGAGTTATCTTTGTATTTATGCTGCTATAGGCTTAGACTGCTGGAGGACATAGGGACCAGTTCTCATCATTCTACCTCATTCTATCTATATTCTAGAATTCTGTTGTATTTATCTCTTGTCTTTTTCGCATCATAGTAGCTTCATATGGTTGGTGCTGTTCTGTGACACTATCTTGAAGGGAAATACCTCCAAGATGTTGCCTTCAATTATCTTAGGCAGACCTCTGAAAACTGCTGCAGTGATCAATTCTACTAAAGATGAATGAAGCAGGAACTAGTTTTTTAGGGTCCTGCTGAGACGTTAGTCCTTTAATCCCAGAGATGTTCTTTAGGTGTTCAAAGGAAAACTGTCTCTGTCTTCTTCAGCACCCAATTAAAATTAATATACAATATATCTGTATATTCATTTTCTGTTCCTGATATCAACTGCACTGCTGCCATTAACACCTTTGTTTCTAGATGTTGGAGCTTGGCCTGTTTTTCAGTGTAGTCCTGTTTCTCTGACTGTGACTAACTGGATGTCAGTTCTTCTTTACAGCTGCCTTTTGTATCTTTGCTTCTGTCTCCCTGAACCCCAGTTGGCCTCAGCAGATGGCCGCTCACACTGACCATGGATCTGCTGGAGGTTTCTTCATTTTAAAAGGGAGTTTTTCCTTTCCACTGTCGCTACAAGCATGCTTGAAGTGAGGGATTGCTGAAGAGTCAGTGCAATCCACTGGTTTTCCTTAGAAAACTATAAATCAATCTGACTGTATGTTCTGGTTGAATTGTCTCTGTAAAGTGACTTGAAATTACATGTGTAGTTAAAGGGTGCTTTTGTATCTCTGCTTCTTTATGTACGTCTCTGCTTCTGTCTCCTTCAGTGTTGGGCACATTACTTTGAAAAAGTAATTAGTT